GATCTCGACGGAGCCTGTGACTAGATACCTTGGGGTATACCTTGACCGCCGACTAACGTGTAAAGTCCATCTTAAAATGCCACGCGAAAGCTGTTTTAAATCCTTAAACATACTAAAATGCGTTTCGCGCACATCGCATGGGGCAGATAGAAGCACGCTTTTGTTTTTGTATAGCTCAATCATGCGTTTTAAGCTGGACTACGCATGTTTTATTTATGACAGCGCGTGTGAGTCCACCAAACGCGTCTTGGACACTGTCCATCACACCGCTTTACGTGTAATCACAGGGGCGTTCCGCACATCACCTGCCGCGAGCCTCATATTGGAACCGCACGAGCTGCCCTTGTCAGCGGGAAGGAAAATGCTCGTTATGCGCTATGCACTTAAGCTGCGACAGTTCCCCTCCCATCCGGCATATAACGCAGTTTTTCACGGCCTGCTGTGCATTTTCGTCGCAGTGCACCTCGGGTACATACTGCAACCCTTGGCCTCCGAATACAGCCCTTGCTGCGGGAGAGCGAAATTCCCATTCGAAGATTGAAACGGATAGATCATTTGTCCACTGCTCCCTGGCGTTTGATCCCGCAATTAACAGATATGGTCGTCTTGCCAGATATAATGAAGTCGAGGGCACTTGAGCGTATGGCATTATATGACGGTTACACACTTACACGGAAGGATCTAAAACTTCTGGCGGTGTGGGTTGTGCGTTTGTGAGCGGCGGCGTCATCCGGTCGCTTTCTTTGCTTCCACACGCGTCGGTGTTCACATCGGAGTTGGTAGCGATCACCAAGGCGCTGTGTTTCATTGAAGTCAGTGATGAACCTTCACATTTAATTTTGACAGACTTTCTAAGCAGTGTTCTTAGTCTGAGGTCTTTTTATCCATCACGTCCCCTGGTACAAGACATTTTAGGACTGCGAGGCGAGCAGCGCTGGCCCCATGTGTACGCTCTTTTTCTATCCCTGCTAGAGATTTTTGTTCCGCAATATAAAACTTCCTGCAGAACGAATGGCGGCGTTGTTGGGATGAGACACACGAAGATTAGCTCAGAGCAATAAAACCCGAGATGGGTCATTGGTTATCATGTTCTCGGGAAGTCAGGCAAGAAGGGGTGGTGTTCTGCGGACTAGGCATTGGGCGCACCCGTATGTAACTCACGGTTATTTGCTGCAAGGATCCAAAAGACCTATCTGCCATCGATGTGGTGCTGTTCTCACCGTTCGTCATGTGCTCATATTATGTCCGCACCTCGTGGAAGAACGTCGACGTTACTTTGGACAGCGTGACTCGCCTTTGACGCTTTGTAACATTTTAGGAGACAACTCGCGCTTTCTTGCATCTAAACAAGTCTTTTTATTCCTTAAACATATCAACTTCAGAACTCTTTACGTAGTTCATTGGTCAGGTAAGGCAAAACTCGTTATGGGCGCCAAATAATCACTGTAATCGGCGAGCCCGAAAACACCAATAAACAACAACAAAACGGATGCAGGTGTAGGATGCGCTTTTGTGTGTGGATCCACAACATGGCCATTCACGCTGCCCGCACATGCGCCGGTCTTTACTTGCGAGCTTATAGCCATCAGCAAAGCTCTCTGTTTTATTGAAGTAGGCGATAACAATTTGTATTTGATTCTTTCCGACTCTTTGAGCAGTCTCCTGGCTGTTGGTGGCTTCTCGCCGTCGAATCCACGGGCTCAGGACATTCATCGCGTTTTAGCTCACTGGATCGGGTAGGAAAAACATTCCTGCTGTGTCGGATCCCAAGTCACGTGAGGATTCGTGGAAATGATCTTGCTGACGCGGCAGCAAAGCGCGTTACGACAGGGGCACGCACCTATAACACCACTACCAGCTCAAGACATGTACCCCGAAGAGTCGTCGTTTATGCAGAAGCGATGGTAGATACACTGGAACTCGCTGGGCACCAACAACCTGAAGTCGGTGAAACCCCGTATTGGATTATGGCAGTCGTGTTTTCGCAACGATAGGAGGGAGCAAGTTTCCCTTTGCCGGTTACCGGATGCCGGCATAGGCCACACATTTGCTACGCACCGTCACCTGCCATTGGCTGACAACAGACCATGTTGTAGTCGATGCTCTGATCCACTGACTGTGCATCACGTACTCGTCGCCTGCCGTCACCTGCCTGCAATGAGAATGCAGTTTTCAGACACAACGTCCAGAGTCGCGCGCTATGCCACTTTTAGGGGATTGTTCGCATGCTGTCGAGTTTAGTAACGTGCTCCAGTTTCTTCGCGCTATAAATTTCCTAGTAATCTTTTCATCATGCTACCAGGCCTGGTCACCAAGGCCTTATAGGACGACCTGATTGATACGCTTGTCTGATATGCGGCTATGCATGAAATGATAGTTATGAGCGCTGTATGACCTACAGCTGTCGATGCGCCCCCAAAGCCCCAAATCATCAACATCATTCTAGTATCTTGCAAACAGAGTGTCAACCTTTATAAATGATTGGGGATAGGCCGAAGACTCAAGTGAGATGCATATTATGTGGTCGGGTGGGCCATTTCCCACCGCCCGTCCCCCCCCCCCCTCTCCCCACTAACAAATTATTCAGTGAAATTACGCCCTTGCGAGGACATGGGAGCCTAACCATGCCCTGACTACGCTTCTCACCAGCTCTTAAACCACTTTATTTTTACGTACGGTGGTTATTGTTTTCAGGTTGATGGCATGGAATAGTCCTTTATTTTAGTAGCATGATCATCAACCGCAGGAAACGTCTGAAAAAGGCATCTGTGATATTTATATTTTCCTAAGATTTTATAGTATTCGGATCAGAAGATTTGCTGAGGGGGGGGGGCTATCAAATATTGGGGACGGGTGTCACCCGAGGGCCCTCACAAAGGGAACAAACCGATCCCTGCCAACAATGTCGTAGTCTTTAAACCTTGCTGTCGCTACTGTTTGGTGGTTTCGCAGGAGCGCAGTCAAGGGGCGCCCCATTCGGCCAACAGGTCTTCATTTTCACCGTAGAAGATTTTCACCACCACCTCTTTAAAGAAAATTGAGAATTGTCGTGATGCGTTCTCACGGAGGTCTGCCCCCCCCCCTCAAGAAAATTCTGATTGCGCCCCTGCTGTTGGTACGAACTAATGGCAAGTGGGCGCGGAGGCTAGCTAAACGGAGATGAAAAAGAGACACTTTGTATTATCATGGGGACACAGTGCCTGACAAGGGATCCTGTGTCAGCAAGGGAATCCGTGCTGGCAACGGGTCCGTCCGCTAGAAATGGACAGTGACGGGACGTGCAATGTCAGTGGAACTCTTGCATTCTTCGGGGATAAGGATAAGGATAAAGGGAGATAGGAAATAGGGCAATAAAAGGCCCTGCATTAAGACAATGGAATGGTAATGTGTCGGACAGTGGGCACAATAACCAACAAAGGGCCTCGCTCCGTTTTGCCCAGGGACCCGATGTTGTTAAAAGTGATCTCCGTGTCATTTAGTAGATTCCTTGTGCATGTAAGAAATTATTGTGCGTGACTGAAAGCCTTTACTCCCAGTCTAACTAACTGCTGCCGTCAGAGGACAGCCGGCGTCATAAAGGAGACCAATGTATCTTCAGAGGGCCCCCGAATCAATCATGAGGCCCGGCGCCGGTGTCACCAGAATGTAGCATCATAAGTATGCTGCGGCCCCCAGTGTTTCACCCAAGGTGCCGTCTGGACGAAATAAGTATGTGGTGTCATTGTTCATGGAATTGACACTGACAGTGTCCGTTCCATAGCCCTCTCGTCAGCCATCCGTCGGAATAACTGGATAAAAAGAAACGAAAAGATAGAAATCATTGGAGCCCGCAGACAACCTAGGGACTCTTTCTCCAGAGGCCTTTCATAAAGCCCCGTGTCACCCCTACTCCACCAAGTTTATGGATGCGCCTCTGGGCACGCGCATATGGGTGACACAGAAACCGGCGACGGTAGAAGCGGGGACAGTGAGAACGGTGAACCCGACCGCAAAAACGTGACTGTATGCGTTGACACCAATGTCCCGTTCAGTGCGAACGATGCAATTTAGGTCAGGTTTTCCGAATTTACACCAAACTAATCGCTTGATAACGTAACATATTTTTAGGGACGGAAGGAAGAAAGGGTAGCTTTTCCCAGCAAATTTGGCATGCCATGCAGTTGTAACCAACGGAAACGCAAATATCCAGATCGTAATATGCACCGTGCGAGGCTGCAAGCTGCTCTCGCTGTGTCAAGACTCCAGTGACCTCACGTCAACGCTGGGCGTTTGGGGTGGTAAAAAGCGGTCGGACATACCTCTGATGCGTCCTTGGCAAGACCGCTGATTGGCGACAACAAATTTTCAAGGCACAACTTTGATTGCACAATCAGCGCTGGTTTTATAAAACAGTTGTACTTTATACTTTGTAAACTCTAAACTACAAATAACAAAATACACACGGTTTGTAACAATCTTTATGAGAAAGGCTAGTGGTCTGGCTTAGTAAGCATCATGCGTGATATTCAACAACCTTCTTTTTTCCGGTCCGGTTACGGTGCGACCGGCGAGCCGGGTGTGACACGAGTTGGGCTGAAGACTCGCTTACAACAAAGTCTGCGCTTGGTAGGGTCTCTCGCCATGCTGGCCTTGGCCTTACACTTGGGCTGAACACAGGCGCATTTGCTTCGATCAATTTGCGCATTACTTCAGACGAATTCGTTTCTGCTAGGATAGTACGAGCGTTCACTTATCTAACTCTTGTGCAATCTTTCCGATGTGCAGTGTTAAGCTTCGGAGGTCTGGCCTTCACAGCCTTGCACCATGACCAGCATTCATGGATCAGGCTATTGTTTCAAGACTGGTGAGTTAAGCCCTGTGACGCGATAAGTCATCTCGCACATGGTCTGCTTCATAAACAAACATAGATAAACAGTAGATACCCATCGCGCCTAGTCTATTTACGTCTGGATATATGCCAAGCGCCCATGCGCCCCGTCAGACTTCTCCCGGCCGGACGACGCCACACCGGCTCCGACCGCGCCGGACCGTCGACGCCGACGCTGCGACCTCGACGGTAAGCAGGCCGGGCCACTGGCCTGAATAGAAACCCGCGTCAACCCTGCACTGTTTCGCTCTTTCCTGACGCCCAGAACTCAGAATGTGTTAGCAATTATTCTGTGGCTCCAGGCGCTCCGACCAAGGTCCACCGTCCAATTCTTAGTGTCGAATATGAAGGACGTGAACACAACGGTGTGATGATATGACTGGCCATGGGATAAACTGGTCGCGTGTGACATCACATAGAGTGGTCGCGTTCTGACAGCACACGCCGATGTCCAGACTAACCTTCCTAACGTCGGGGCCACACATATAGGTGCCAGGACCGGATATGTTGATTCCGGTGCCCGGGAGATCCCTGTTCTGAAATAAGCAGTCTGGCGTCCAGACTAAACGCGTTGATGTCCAAAATAAACTGACGTTGAGCATAGATGTGCTACTGCAGGAGCTAAACATACTGATGCAGGATAATGTAAGTCCGGTTGCAACCGATTGCAGTGCATAATTTCTATATAAGACCAGAAATGTATTAGAAATGCCACCATGTGCTCTAGTTTAATTCCACGAAACATTTCACACATAGTTACTGGAGTTAACGTGGCACTGGCACAACGATAGTAAACGTATTGCGGGATTGAATGGGAGTCATATGTAATACTTGCGCAATAACCTGTCAATGGACTGCGACCTGCATTTCACTGACGGTGTGTATTGGCCGTTCGCAAGCAGCTCGTCATATTCCAAAGGGAACTGTTAAAAAAATCCGGTGCCGGCTTGGGCTTGAACCAACGACCTCCACCATATAAATACAGCACGTCGCCAACTGCGCAACTAAGACTGAAAGGCACGTTTCGTGAATTCAGAAAGCTCACGGCGTACCGTGCGGGAAAACCCTGGCATGGCGAGGCACCTTGGTTCCCCTAGGTATAGATCGGTCCGTAGGTCGGTGTATGGCGATAAAGCAATCTTTCTTGTGGCGCTGGGTCCATTAAAATCGGTTAGGTATTGGCGATAGTCAGCTTCCTAGAAGCACACTTTGAACCCATGAAACCCGTCGGCTGGCAGGAGAAGTATGCCAAGTAGCGGTTGTACTGCCAAGACACTTTGCTGGGCTCCGATGCTGATGTGCCTTGGGGATGATGACGGGACTGGGCTGATCGATGTTAAGATTGAGCAGCATGATGTTGACACGAGGCAGGATCATGCAGAGATGGACAAAGTGGAGGCAACAAACGTAGAAAGAGGATGAGGAAGAAGAGAAGACGATGTGTGAAGTGAATGCAGAGAGAATGCGAGAAATGGATGCAAATATGTGGATAAGGAAAGCAGGATGTGGGGTACGGACAGGATGATGTGCGAAACGTGCAGTGTCATGTTGGACCTAAAGCGACTGATGTGAACTCGACGGACCGACCACAGAAGACAGGTTTTCGTGAAGTCCACGGCAAGGCTCGTCACGGAAAGAACGATTGCATATTTTGGGACAATCGTGGGGATCTTGTACTGACGCCTGACGGGTCCTGACGTCATGTCCAGGAACATCACCCAAGTAATTGAGGGCAAGAAGTCCACACAGAGAGTTGTATCTTGAGGCCAGCCCCAACGAGTTAAACGAGTATTTTGTGGGGATGGGCCTCCGTGTTGCTGATGAGGTTTGAGCCAGGAGGGCCCCATGTGCTTCCATGCCGTCTGCCCAGGGTTGACACCTGTGCTCTTTATCTAAAGCCCATGACTAGCGACTCTCTCCGTCCCGTACTCTTCTATGCAAATTCAGGAGCTTGTGTGGTTGACGATATTTGTATTAGGTGACCAAGATTTGTTTTGAAATCATACGTCACGTTATCTCTCTCATTCTCAACACCTGCCTCACATCCTGCGAATAACCCGACCCCTGGAAACATTCTATAGTACATCCCATTTACAAGTCTGGAGGCCCATCAGATGATTCGAACAATATTCGGACATCTGGTTCCGCTCCCACTGTCCAAGTGCAGATATTGGTAAAACGGAATTTATAGTCCGTGGCTCCCGTTAAAATCACCGAGGCGGGGCTCCCATTACTGCTGGGTTCCGCGAGGACGCAGGCCTTGAGTAAGGACGCAGTGACTTGTGACGGTGCATTGCGTGAAGAGCCAAAGACCTCACCTGGCCTCACGTACCTGACGCGTGATGAAAAAAAAGCAATGGTGCCCTCGTCGGGCTATCCCACGTGCATAATCCGATCCTGCTTATGTTTATGCCTACCTTGATTAACGCCTTGGTCCCCTCGCACGTTCGCTATTGCCTTCCCGTCTGCGGCAACATATCGGAGAAAAACACGCAGCGCCTCCGAAATATCCTAAACTCTGCAGCTGCACGTTGCCTCCGGCCGTCGCAAATTTGACCATATCTCGGTTGTGGGGGAGTGGTCTGGCCTACTCCAGTCAGCTCTGCCAACAACACTATTGAGTTGCCTCACTATGTGTCACACACACACACACACACACACACACACACACACGCACACACACACACACACACCACCACACACACAACACACACACACACACACACACACACAACACACACACACACACAACACAACACACACACACACACACCACACACACACACACACACACCACACACACACAACACACACACAACACACACACACACACACACCACAACACACACACACACACACAGTACTGTGTCACCGGCAAACTGCAAGCTCTTGCCCCTCCCCCCCCCCCCCCCCAGATACAGGACAACGTTTCTCTTCGATCACGCTCTACCCATCGCATCACTGATCTAGCACTTCCGCGCGTGGCAACGGAGGCGGGTAGGTGGCGCCTCCTGTACAATGTAGAACAACTCTACATCGCTTTGCCTCACCATGTCACTCGTGTCTTTTAAGTGTGAGCTTTTAGCTGAAAATTGATGAATGTGTGTGTGTGTGTGTGTGTGTGTGTGTGTGTGTGTGTGTGTGTGGTGTGTGTGTGTGTGTTGTGTGTGTGTGTGTGTGTGTTTGTGTGTGTGTGTGTGTGTGTGTGCGTGTGTATGTGTACTTAAGGTGCGTTTTGTATGTGCGCCTTTGACGCACCACTGTGCGGTCGTTGCCACGAGTGTTCTTTTTAACATGTCTCTTCTCTTAGTTTTATCGACTTGACACTCAGAATCATTGGTTTATGTTGTAGAGTGTTTTTAAACCCCAATACATACTGCCATACTCTCAAACTATGTGTAATAGCCAGCCATTACTTCAGCCTATGATTAGTTTGCGACCCACCACGTAATTGTACCTTTGCTCTATTAAATTGGCATGCTTGTGTTCGCTGGAAGTTCAAGCGAAGTGTGAATGAATGACAGTCATTATGGAAGGGACAAAATGTCTCATATTTGACCCTACGTACGCAACACAATACACGGTGTCGAGTGGTGCCATTGCATCTGTACGTGCGCATCATCACGGCACACAGCACGCATGTCATGACGCCCGTGAGTCAGCATCTTCCGCATAACCCCCAGGTCCACTTTGTCACCTTCCGCTTGATCCTGTTGACTAGTCGGGTCTTGCTGCTAACTGTCAAGTTTCGCGCGCATACCAGCTGCTTGAGGATGCTCCACATTGATCCGACGGGTTAATCATCGCACCACACGATGTTGGGTATATTTGGAGGGCTGCCTTCCTTTGCGATGTAGGGGATCTCATGGTTGTCCATGTGTGTGGACGGTATCTCGTTTGGTAGTGCGAGTTGGCCAGCACTGGCCAGAGCATCTAATCTTTCTCGGAGTAGTGCACGTCCAGGAATGGCTTTAAGTGACGTTTCACACACTGCTTCAGGTACATTTCGCGGTTCATGCGGCCGTTCTCCATAAAGAGGGCCTGATAGATAACCTTGCGTTGATCCCAACCCTCCCCATGGTACAATGTGCGACACTTGGTTACCGAATTGCTTCACGTCATAGAAATATTTTCAGAGTGCGCCTGTTCTTGCCTTATCAGAGCCTATACGGTCTTGCCATCCGTGTAGAATTCGCGGACTCTGAAGCTATTCAGAGCCTTTGAGAAACCGTGGGAGGCCTTCGTTATCCATCATAATGCTATCCTACCTCACGCATTTAGAAGTCCAGGTCGAGCATCCTGCATCTTCTCTTTATCTTATAATTTGGCTTCTTTGCCCCTAGTGACGCCGGATGGTGGGCGTTAACTCTCTTGTATTATGACAGGCAACACTCGCTGAATGACGATCCACATAATACATGTGAGACTTGGAGATCTGTGATAGGTACCTCCGCCTACATTGGACAGTTCAGCTCTGTTCTTCAGCTCTCGCTTTGGTTTTATGAGGTCTGTATTTCGTCTTCTTAACGGGTTTCGATTACCTCCAGGGTTTTTTATTACTGTCTGACCGTTCTCTTCTTTGTAGCATCATATATCATTTAGCCCTCGGAGAGAATCTTCAAAAACATAGTATTGCAAGCAGTGAGCGTCTTCCCCCTTCCTTGTGTCGCTCATGAGATTGAGCAACTCTCTCAGCGTGGCTCATTCTTCCGTTTGCAATAACTGCAAGTTTATGTTTCTAACAAAGGTTTGGAACCAATAAGAATCAAATTGTACGTATCTTTAAGCCACGACCAAAATTACGTGCCGTACCGTTCATACATGAGCAACATTTATAATGAGCCCATGTCGCAGTTCTGCGGGGCACACGGGTGTTACCGGTGCATGGCTGTATCCTCCAGGTGTGAAGCTGTCATCTCGGCGCAGTCACCCCGGTCTCATCACTCAACTGTGTCTCCGTCCAGCGCCCGTCCCGAGCGAAATACGCCACGTCATGCTGACAGGCGCGATGGCAGTAAAACAGCGGCGTGCGTCCGCCTGGCCGAGCTGTATATTTTTCGGACATGACCTCGGCCGCTCCCTATGACGTGACGGCTCGGTGGGCTTGCGTGAGCGTGATGAAGTGGATGATAAAATTGTAGCAGGCGTAAAGACACCAATTATGTTATTATGGCAAAAAATGAAGACACTGGATGAATTAGAGCTTGGGTCACAACTTTGCACGCATGTAACTAAACATGATCCCGTGGGCTTAATTACATGAGCATGCTTAGCTGTTAGAATGTTCATTCTAATGAAAAATGTTAGCTATTACCATCTCAAATATCCATGACTTCCATATTTCTTTCCTAGAACATCAGAACGTCATCCAGTGGAGAACCATCTCCTATGTCGCGTAACATCTCAAAAGTAATTGAAAGCCACCAATGCATTCACAGAATATCGGAGCTGGTCTACTAGTTTGTGAGATAATTCTGCATCGGCAGGTTTCCACCACACTTCATTTTAACCACCGACTATTAACACCTAGACAACATGTGCATGGCCAGTCAGATCTCATGAATTCACTACCTAATCCTCAAATTTTCTTCCAGTTTGGATCGAGCTGAGGCCTTCGCGTGATATCTGACCTGACCGCCGCCGTTCTGCGGCGACCTGGCACGGTATGGTGGCGACATCTGCGAGCGATGCGGGCAACCACGATGAGCTGAAGGGTGGGCGGCTGCTGCGCCAGGTGCGCTCACGACGTTTGATGTGTGTGATGAGCTTATGATCTGTGGCGGATCAGGCTGTCGTAGATCACATCAAAATGACATCACAATGTTACCAATGATGAGGTTATTGTTTGAGTGCCCACGTTTTAACGCATGGGCATAGCAGAAAATCTCAGTATGCGTACTGGTGTTATATCCCGGCCAGGATGCTCGTTTGACATCATAGCACCAAACATTTCTGACCGCTGGATGATTAATCGTCTGAATTGACCGTCACGTTACGCACGTCATGTCACGAGCACATCACGGCAGCGATCGTCATGATAGACCGATTGTCAGTCCTGCAAGGATCTAATCTATCTTGTGCACTGCAGCTTCCTTGTAGCACGCGCCAGGGTGGCCAGCTAGATACCCTTCGCTCGGGTGTGGGGGGAGGGGATCAATTTGACCCCCCCCCCTGAGACCTCGGGAACTAAAAGAGCTAGAGACACTAAATTTACGGGGTGTGTTGACCTGTAAGTGAACTCACTTGGGCCAAAGCTTCGGGTTCCTAGGTCATGACCTTCGGGTCAAAAAAGATCAAACTAGGCCAAGTTCCGGGTTCGTCTCCCAAGTGCTCCCAGAGCCTAGATAACCGTTTCTAAGCAAAAGGTCACACTCTCATTCAAGGTTAGTGACCTTGTTTGACCTTTTGAAGGTCAAGGCGATCAAAATCATACAAGATTGCTTTGAATTTTGCATTTGACCAAGCGACAAAGGTTACGCTAGGCAGTATGTTCCTAAAACAAAATGTTAACCTGGGTCATTTTAGGTCAATAACCTATTCTGACCTCTAAGAAATCCATGGAAGATGTATAATGCGGGTCCTGCTGTCAATCAACTCGAAATGAGCGCCAAACTATCCCATACGCAAGCCCGGACTAACAAAGCAGTTTGGTTTTGGCCCTGGTGGGACCTTTATTCCTGACCTTAGATCAACGCAATTTGCTCATCCAATAGTTGTGTCGCCTCAGAAAGCTTCTAAGAGGATGTATGGCTTCTGTGTAACCCTCCGTTGTTGGATCATGTTTAAGGATTCCCTAGAAATTGCCTTCGCTGCTGAAACCATGATCTGACTTTGACCTACCATAGATCAGCAACTTACAATGGTGCATCTCAATTGATGACGCCAAACGATCCGCTATACAATTGTCTACCAGTGTGCAAAATTTGGCGCGCCTAGGCTGCGTCGTTCGGAAACCATTTAGAATCACCTTCGGTTAGGTCAATTTGAGCCCCCACCCCGAGCGCTTTGTTAACCTTCCGATCATTCAAGGGTTGGATTGCCCGCAGACTTTGATCTAAAAAAGTTCCGGGCCGCCCAAGAAACCTGGCCATATGTAGGCTGCTGCAGTGAAAAGGATATCCTTCCATTTGGACGCACATGCGTATGGATCGGAAGCTTCATGGTGCCCAGCCGCTTTTGATTTGGTATTTATACGACAAGAGCCTTGGACCGCGTCTCGACTTATAAACATTTGGGGATCAATGGCCCTGTCTGAGTTCATTGTGCACATTTCCGATTGTCTGACTGTATGAACTGCCGCGGACTGTTTGTTTCAAGGCGTCCCTGGAAGTCAAGGGGCCGTGAGCTGGGAGCGAGAGCTCACTGCGCGCACTTGACGCATGCTCGGTCCTTCATGAGGCCTTGACAATCTTGACAATCAAATCCTTGACAACCATTTGGCGACTTAATGTGGCTTGTTTTCTTCTGCACCGGCAGCGCGTAGTTCGTGATGGATCATACTCGAGAGGAAGAGCGTGTTTACCGTCGACGCTTCGTTATGCCCGTTGCCAACAGGTCTTGATCGGGGTCACAGTGGCTTCGTTCAGCGGGTGCCAGGGAGCACACACGACCGTGCCGGCCGTCCTGCTGCCGCAGCTGATGACGAACGGGTCGGACATACCTCTCACAATGCAGCAAGGAACCTGGTTTGGTGCGTATCGTGGGCAGCGAGGGGCGAGGAGTGTTGTGCTGCACGCGAACTCGAAAAGTCAGCATTGCCACGCGTGCTTTGAGCATCGCTTGCACCCTGTCAGTGTCGCGATGCAGTTCTGAAAGCCAGCGAAAAGCTGGGGAAGAGCATTGTATATATTTTCACCACTCCGCCGTCATCTTCCAATTTCACATGCAAAGCGGTGCTCTGAATGCGCAGGGCACGTGGCTTTGAATTGAAAAAGTTGGTGGTCGGTGTGGTCACCAGTACCGCGCTCAGCAAATTAGCGTTACAGCGAGCGAGCGAGCGAGCGCACGTTTATGTGTGACAGCCAGTGCACATCTTTTAGTAAAACGCTGCGACTTTTTATTTCAGCCAGCATGCACTCCTTGTCGGCGCTGGCCGGCTCCGCGCTGGCCGGTGTTCTGGTCCACCACCTCGGTCCGCGGCGGGTGCTGCAGCTGCAGGCGCTACCCTGCATCGCCGGCTGGCTGCTCATGGCACTAGCCTACAACTTCCCCATGCTGATGGTGGCCCGGTGCTTGATAGGCTCGTCTTGTGGTGTAGCCATGAGCGCCGTACAGGTGAACCGGCGGTGACTATGCATAACACGATTATTTACTACAATATATATATATATATATATATATATATATATCGTATGTGGCGTGTGTGTATAACTGTGCAATTATAACCGTCTAGAGAAGGACA